AATTATGAAAAATATAGTTATGACAAATACACGTAATTTTTATTAAATCGGGTTAAATTCTCTTTTCACGCGTAGTAAGCATACAGTATAAAATAAACCTTTTTCCCAGCGCATTTACGCAAGAAAATTATTGCTATTAAAAAAAATCAAGCGATATTATCTAAAAAACTTGATCCACCAATAAAATCTCAATAAAATTACTGCGCATCAATAGCATGTCCAGTTTAACAGAATTCAACTCTTCGGAAGCCATGTCATTTTTGGCCTTATCCATCATTTTTTTGTTAGTTAGTCTGGCGATATTCGTGGGAATCGTCACCATGTATGGAAATCTAAAACAAAAGATCTCTAATGAACTTTCCGCACATGTCATAAAAATTCTCATCGATCTTGGTATACTACCGGAAATCGGAAAGAGGTCACTTCATGACCAGATCTATACTGAACTTAATGATAAATTTGACACATGTATTTCCGATATTAATTCTACTTTCACTGCGGAGCTCGACAGAATCAATGATGATCTTAATAATAAACTTAACGAAGAAGTTAATGCAGGGTTCGGCAAGATTAATACCGAACTTAATAGTAAACTTACTGCGGAAGCCGAAAAAAACAAGGCACGTGATGATGACTTCACTAAGGAGACGCAGAAAATCTTTTCAATGATCAGTACTGTTACCGAAAGGCTTGATAGGATCGAAGAAGCCTGTCATAATGATTTTGGAAACATTTCGTCCGAATTTACATCAATCAAAGCTTCTATTGAAATTCTTCAAAATGATTTGGCCCAACGTTATGCGGTTGTCCGAAGAGCCGATTTCGATCAACAAAGCGTGTCCAATGAATCTGAAACTAATGAATCTGAATTGGGAAGTTCGCTAAACTCTGCCTCAGCTTCAACTAGTTCAAGCTCTTCTTCTGGAGGTTCCAATTTATCTGGAATTTTTGATATTACTGGAGACATTAGAATCAGTAATCCCAATTTTAAGGCGACCCGACCGACACGTGATCCGTGTAAACAAGTGTGTGATCGCCCCATATGATGTGTCAGTTTTTGTGGCTTAGACTCAAGATTAATATATAAGTCGAACCTCCGTTTTTTAAGCTAATCTCTAACAAAATGTCGCAAATACCACCTCAGGTGCATGAAACAATAGAACAGTTTTTCATGAGTAGCTCGACTTGGTCACTATTTTCGTTTCTCCAATACAGAGAGGGTGTAGACGATTTCACATACGACAAAGTGAAAGAGCATATGTTATACAAGAGTGCTCTGAATTTGTTATCCAAAGATCACGATCAAGCTCGAAAGTGTCTTCTTAATTTTGAGGTTAAGTATTGTATTTATTAGCGATTAAAGTAGACGAGTCATGGTTGGGTTCAAGGACTTGAATACATTCCGGTCCCGAGACAAATACGTGATGTATTGACAAACCCTGAGTAGCCAGCTGAATTCGCTTTGGCGGGTGAGAGTGGAGTTCGTCTTCCCTCAGACGTCCTTGAATAGACTTCGCGTTATTGCCATAACGCAACTGGATGGGTTCGTCCCAACTGGTTGTCAGACTTCGTGTTATGTTATGGTCCACTTTGATTCGTCAATAATACGGGTAGTTTCAAAAATAGGTTATTTAACTTTGCGTCCTCGTCAATGTTGGAATTATCCCTCCCATTATCTTCATTATTCAAGACTGCATATGCCTCATTAATCTCTTTTATCTTCCTTTCGGCTTCTTCTTTGGTTAACCACTCACAGCAATTTTACTTGTACTAATATTTGTTTTCTTTTCTATAAAAGAATGAGAGATCTTCTGGGAATGTCCACAATTTCTGGACAACGATCGAAAAAAAACGCTACGGGGATTGAATTGGCATCGCAAGGGTAAATGAAAAATACAGTGATTTTAGAGTATTAGTTTCAACATTATGATCCTAATTACTAATATGACTATGTTATAAGGCTGATGGTGTCTTACGCATGTTAGAAGGCACGACCGCTGGTCAACAGCATGTTTTTAATATTCAGCAACAAGATCTCCTCGGTCTATACCAATCCGGCGACAATGATTTGGTAATTTACTGGGTGTTTCCTTATTTCAAAAACTTGGCGAATTGATTTACTCATACCTATTTAGACAAATACATCTATGATGTCATTGTCAAATATTTTAAATCATCCAGGAAAGCGCAAGTCTGAGGGAGATCATCGTCCCAAGACACCACCTATGAGACCTCGTAAAGTAACTGTTACGACCCCAGAAAAGCCAACCCTTTACAAACACACTATGCAACACCTGGCTAAACATTTTTCAGTCTACGTTAACAATCAATGTGTGATAATGAAATTAGATCATGTTGATCTAATTCCGAAAGAAATTCGTACTTGGATTGTAAATTTATTATCAGTAAGTATACATAAATCTTTTTAGGTCTTATGTTAAATATTATTAAAAAAAATTTTATTAACTACCAGTCAGAAAAAGATGTGTTCGAAAGCAATATTATGGCTCCACTAAATTCAACTCCAGCCCATCCATTTCAACAAATCTGTAAAACAATTTTATATGACTTGTGAGTATATTATCACGGTCTTTACATCCCTTTTAGCACAATTGGCTAATTCACCCTGTCTGAAATAGCTTTTCCATGACTGATAAAGGCCCATTAAATCGTTTTATTGGAGAAAGGAAGTATACCGTGGATAGGATAGTGCCTTTATTCAAGGCGATTCAATCGGTATATCGAGAGTATTTATTTGATTGGATCGAAGTACAAGCAAGTTGCATAAAAGATATAAAAGAATTGTTTCCAGAATTTGACTTCACACTAAATAAAGTCGATGGAATTGGTTCTAAGGTTTCAAGTAATAAAGAGATCATATTTATTGAAGTGTCTGGAGGACCGGAGAATGCTGTTCTAAAACACGTCAAAGAGGATACTGAAAAACTCATCAAGGAGGCTATGTTTGGTTTGATCTCTTTGCTTAGAGGCTACTTAGGTAAAGGCGCGGAAAAGGCAAGAAACATATGCGTATATATGGTGCAATGTATAGGTAATATACTTAATGTCTTATAATTATAATTTCTTTTAATCCATACAAATCTTATTTTTGTTGTTCACGTTAGGCGATCGAATTACGCTAAGTGAAGTCTGAAGCATTTTTATAATATTTCGCAGATTAAGTCTGCTGTGCTACCATTTTCTTTCGATGAAGTTGAAAAATTCATAGAGGTTTTCGAACTATTATATGCTTTAATAGTAAGTATTTTCTATATGTATGGATATTGTAGGAACTTTAGTCTAACTTTTATGTTATTGTTCTCAGGATGGACTTAAAAAACAAACAAGAGAACTAAAAAAATTAATGCTTGCTGATCCTATTAGTAATGTACCTACAATTCGGGATTGGATCTGGGTCCCAAAAAATCTTTCAATGTGGGAAGCTACAGAAGTTATATATGAAGATTTCGACTATGAAGATTTGAACTATGACTATGAAGATTAATTTTTTTTATTTTATAAACCTTGTCAAAAGCCACTTCAGCTATATCAAAGTGAAATCATGCTATATAATGTAAATGTAAGATATTAAAACAATAAACATATAATAATAATTTTTTTAACGCAATTTTTCTTGGCAAAGCTTGTGAACTACTGCGCCAATTTTTTTCAAGTGTGACCAACCTGAAAATTTTCCGATTTTGAAATTTTTACTTACCTAATCACACTTGACGAAGTTTTAGCCTATTATTTCTACAAATAAAATCAATGTATACACTTATCTGTTATCAATTATTTTTAAACTTGTGTATCTTATAAATGCTACAGTATATGAACTGCTTACTGGTGGCTTAGTTACTGCGTGCGCAAAATCTGATTGGTTGATCCTCGTGACTTGAGTTGCGGGAAGGTTGCGAGGAAGTGCCGGGAACTTTCTGGGAGCCAGGGTGACCCTATATAAATCCCTATAATCGAATAAAAATGAATTTGAGTTTAGCAATATGTAGTCTCAATAAATCGGCTACAAATTGATAAAATCGCTTATAAAATTGAATCTGATATTTATTAGAGTATAATATTGCTAAATCAGCTAAAAACACTATAAATCAATAAAACACTATTTATCGCTTAAACATTTATAAAGATGGATTTAGATAGTAATGCTTACTATAAGCTTTGTTCGCCTGATCCTGATCGTGATGATAGATATAATAAGATAATAAAAGCAATACACCTTTTACAACATAAATATGATAATGAAACACCAGAAATGTGGTGCTCCTGTATTCGTGGTCCATTTAGAAAAATACTTGAAGAGAACCCAGAAATATTTTCTAAGAATGGATATATTCGCATGTAT